GCCAAATCTCCTCTTCACATTTCTATTGACTTTCTCGGCTTCGCCGTCGCCAGGTGCGTTTTAAAGCATCCATTCCAAATTTAATGGAAGCGAAACTCCGGGCTCCGGGACTCCGGGCTCCGCGACTCCGGTGATGTATTGAGTTTTTGCACGACCTCACACACTGCCACACGTTTATTCTTTATTTGTGATTATTTAGACGTCGGTTAAAAATTTATCGAGCTGAAGCTAAAAATTTTAATTGAAAGATGTTTGAGTTTGTTGGGAATTTGACAGTATCGCTAAGCTTTGATAATCGCCGCAGGAAATCGGATTTTGTAATTGAATAAATTGAGAGTAAATATGGGGATTAAAGCGGGATTTTAGAGGATTGAAAGTCGGGCAAAATATTGTGTGTTTGCAATTTGAAAATTAGGTCTTGGATTGTGTAACGAGAATGACAAACAAAAAGAAAGTTCTAATTGCAAGTGACAAGGTATTTTGCAAGCAGTGTCTTATTTAATATGCATGCAAATATCAAGACTTGATTCTAAGTTTTTTTAATTACAAAAACCCAATTCGTTTTTATCTTCCTACTGCACCTATAACAATAAAACCCGAAAGTGGGTTAACCCATTATTCAGACCCCTCCAGATACTAAAGAAAACTCCAAACAAGCCGAACCCTCATTCTCACACCAAACCAAATCAAATTCAACAAGCCTGACAAAGCAATCCCTTTCGTAGTCCTAATTTGGAGGCACATTATCTAATATTTGTTCGGAAAAGATCTCGTTTGAAATTCCTGCTCTGGAAACAATGCGTTTCTGAATGAGATTTACAATTCAGTACACGTATAACTGCAATAAACGACTGCTATATTCATGTCATACCGCTAGTTGAATAAAAAGTAATTCAAGGACGATCGTTCTCTCACCAAAGGTCGGTGGAAGTGAATCGAAATTGGAAATTTTGAATCAGTTTTTCTGCACGTGTTTTGAAATGACCTTGTCATTTTCATTACAAAAATCAAAAAGATAGAGCTGATGGAAGTCAGAAACGGACATGAAAGGGAGCCTTGGGGCACGCCTCTCATGATGCGAGAGAGTGGTTTAAAACGTTTTTGTAACACAGCTCTGATTTAATTGTAAAAATAGAAAGAATTGATCTTTTAACTAAGTAAATAAATATATAATAGAGAAAATACAAAAAAGAGTCCAAGAGCACGAAATAAGTTTTTTTTCTTTTATTGATTTTGAAAAGTTGCAATTTTTGACGAGTTTCATTAAAAGATCCTTGCAATAAGGAAACAACATAATACAAAACTGGTAAATAACGACTGTTAAGTCCCTGAATTATGGTTTTATGACCGCAAATTTTAATAAGTGTCAACTATTTATAGATAGCCTTCATAGGACAAAGATTTGTTTAATCATATTCAAATAAATTTTTCCCTTGTCAACATCAATTTAAAATTTTTTAGCTCATTTTTCACCCTTGTTAAGTTTAGGTTTTTCATATTTTTTATTTATATACCTACAATACACAAACAAACATACATTACTAGCGCAAACAGGATAACAGTTTGTAAAAACATTCAATTCAAATTTAATTTTAATTTATCAATATTGGTGATATTTCCAATATAGCCAACTTTTTAATCATTATAACCTTGTTTCAACATTTATTCATTGTGATCCTCGTTAGTTGGCAAAATCCCTCGAATCAGCTCACCAGTTCATTCTCGTCGAAATCTGCATACATTAAAGCAAACAGAACAATTTCTCTCGCCACTAAAACCAAACTCAACAAAATTATTCGTATAGCAGTTTCCAGTGGAACAGTTTTTCGTTTGTCCTAAGCTATTTATTTTGCCAATAGTTCGGTCCAGTTAACATTAAGCAGAAAGCAAAGACTGCTAATAAATAAAACACGTCAAGAGCAATCGCAAGGGAATCGAAGTTGGAATTAAGCCAGCAAACAATGAAAATTATCAGAGGAAACTGTTAGGTTTTTATCTATGATGTCTGTCTCAGGGAAATGCAAAATTTGTATGGAACCATTATGTGGTTTCTGCTGAAACTGTGCCAGCAACTAACTGTTGTTTATGCATTGAATTTGAGGAATGTTCATTGGTGAGTACTTGACATCCTGGTTGAATTGAAATTATATAACGATTTGTGATGGGTAATCGACTACATGTGCAAGTAAGTAATGGAAAAAATTACAGTGAGTTTGAGAAACTTTTTCACAACCATTAGTCTGTTTTGTTTGCAGGAGCAAACAAACAATAATATATTATGCAACTGTTACATATTACTCAACCAAAACAAATACAAATGGATAAATCCAAACAAGGTACAATTACAACTGATGCATTCTATTATCATCACAAATCTTAAAACCGTTCCCACATACTTTCCCAAGAGATGGTCGAAAAGCTGAATAGAACACAAACTTTCTTCCTCGACTAATGAAGTGGCGTAATTTTTAATGGCAAGGAAGTAAAATAAAAATTACCTATAATGACACATAGTTACCAAGGTCGCGTCAGCAAATTTAGACAAATCATATTCGAATAATACTATCATTCTTGTTATTATATTTCACTCCAAGTTAGCTTTATTGTGTTTCGTATCGCTGAATAAATTTAAATAAATTTGGTATCTTGGAGGGATTACGTTGTTGATGAAGACAGCTGAGGGAGGTATTACGTTCACCTAAAACTTTTGAATTCTAATTTATCGACAAAAAAATTAACGATTGCTGAGGGTCAAGGTTTGTGCAACTGAGCGTGTTGCAAAGTTTCCGTTTTAATTGAGACGATTAATTGCCCCGAAAAGACGGACAGATTTATCGTTTTTTCAAGTTATTTATTGCACCTGATACGTGAATTAAGAGGCTGGAAAAAATGCATCAACTAGAGACCCTGAGTGCTCTTTTGGATAAAAAATAAAGACGTTGTATGTAATTTTTATTTAAAAAATTATTCAAGGACTCTAACAAACTGTAACAGATTTGGATGACTTTACGGTTTGTGTAAATACTGTTACTTGGATAATAACGCTGTGGGTATTCTTTATTCTGTTTAAATAACAATACCAACATACAAGAAAATAACTGTATAAGTGAAACAAAAAAAGTGAAAAAAATCCATGGAAAAAATAATTGTTGGTAAAGTGTACCGGTGCAGCAACAGCTACGGCTACTGTTGATGCATTAAATAGTGAGAACAATTAATGCATTTGCTCTACTTTTAGCTCCGAAAAAGTATTTTTTCCGCTATCTAGTGTAAGCATCGGAGCGCGAAAAAGATTTAATTTTTCACTTTCTGATAGAAATTTCGAATAGTTCCGGGTTCGATATTATTACGTCAATAAAAATGCTCTTTTGACCTACCACGTCCTTCCGATGATTTTAATAAGTGAAAGTTCGATGATATAAACATTTTTCAAATGTATGCCGAAAGGTCAAGAGCAATTCGCATCGGTAATGGTCAGCAAACAATAGCAAAAATGCATCGGCTTTCTATACCCGTATTATTATCATTAATCGAGCTTAATACAATGGTAATCCGGATGAAAAAGACGTTCGTGGGTACCCACATAACAGTTACCCGGGGAAATAATAGTAATTAGGTTTGTCGATAAATTATAACCTGAGCTGGAAGAAGAAATAAACATATTTTATGGCACAGTTACATTTCTTTGGAGTCGGATCTCAATTTGCTAATGTTTCTTATGCAAGCTCTTCTTATTGACCCAAATCAAAGACATTGTGATATGCATGATTTGTAACGAGGCTTAAACCGATTTACCACATCGATATTTCACTTAATTTAGTCTTATTAAACGAGACGGTTCTCAAATTGATTTTAAACAAGTTGCAAAATAATACAAATAGGGTCCACGGCACTTTGCCCCACTACCGCAAAAGCGCAATTTTCGACGCATGCGTATAGCATTCATTTATAATTTAGCTACAAGTGGCACCAACCTTTTCCTTTTCCGTTGTCATCTTGTAATTCCGGGATCAAAAGATTTGTATTCAGCACAACTTCGTCGTTGAAGTCGTGTGCACGAAAATGTATATAAGTTAAAATTTTGATTTTAAATTCAGACACGTAACGTGTCTTGTTTACAAACGATCCCAAATGGAAATAATTTCAGTGTAAAGTTTCCTCTTTTGATTAAAATAGTGTCGTTTGAAAGACACAATTCTACAAATGCATCACAGGAAGTGTTACAATTAGCCGGAAATTAATTTAGTCGCATAGTAGTCGTGATTTACGGTTGAAGGAACCTTCAAACTTTGAACAAGCGGATTACTCGTCCAAACACGAGAAAAAAATCCAGTTTCGTGTCCCAGAGGGGGTTGAATGTGGCCGAGGAACTACAATTAAACAAGAAAGTTAATCCAATTTGGCTCGAAGCAACTGCACTGTTGATAATTAATTGAGATAGTTAAGGGAGGTTTGACTGTCGATAACAAAAACGTCTCAATCAGTGTTGTTACATAGTTGCACAAAAAAAGACAATCGAAACCTTGTTCGAACGGATCCTTATTCATGTCAAGTTTGCTTTTACGATAACGAATACATTTATTATAGAGGAGAAGTTCTGTATGTATTGTCTTTACTAGGCGGTCCTGGGGGAGTTTAATATTGATTGGAATTTTGCTTTCATTGTGTATTGTTTACATAAGCTACTTAGGAAAAATCAAAGTTGTTTTTTGTAATTGGATCGTGAAGCCAATAATAGCACTCATATGGCTGCTGTTGAGTGTTTTGCTGGTAAACGTATTTTTTATTGAAACAAAATTAGAAATAACACAAATTTGTTCCAAACTGCTGTTGGTGCAATTGCCCGAAAACTGCTGAAACTTTTTCGCTCCATCGAATCGAAGTAAATTTATAAACAGACTTCTGGAAATTTATGACGCCGTTTCGTCTAACATTTCTCCATTTAAAACAACATAAAACCCTGTCGTTTAAAGACCTAGTTAGTTACAAATAACAGTAAGAACGGCAAAAACAATTTAATTTCCCATTTCAATCAGATACATTCTTGTTCTAAATTAGTAATATGATAAATAGAGGGATTGCTGTGAATGTCCCTCCACGCTAGCCAACTTTTCACACAAAAACAAGTAATTGGATTACCATCAATATCAAGTTCTTCCATTCGGAAAATGTCCGTCGAGAGACATCTCAGTTTATTATCCTCCAACATGACAATATCGACTTGAGTGTTTTTCAAAACGTCGCTGTCCAGTTCGTACAAACTGTTATTGTTTAAATTTAAAACATTTATGTATTTAACACCGTTAAAAGTACCAGAACTCAAGCGATCAATTAAATTACTATCGAGAAAAATCCGTTGGAACCTCTCCATGCCGTTGAAAACGTCATTGTTGATCTTTTTCAACTGGTTACCAGTAAAGATAAGACTCATGCTGTCATTGACCGGTTTCGACATAAAACGAAACGAATTCGGAGGTAAGTCTTCAATTAAATTGAAACTTAAGTCCAAATGAGATATATAACTGTCAGCGAACCAATCTTTACTCCATCGAGAGATTTTATTGTTTTGTAAAAATAATTTCTTGAGTGTCATATGACTGAAAGCCTTGTAACCAATTCTAGAAATCTTGTTGTTGTCCAGAAATAAGTCCTCCATTGGCAGTTCATTAAAAATTCCGATTCGTATCTCCTCAATCGCATTTCCCGATAAATTCAAAACTTTCAAATTTGGCAAATTTTGAAATGCACCACGTCGTATATCTCTGATCCCATTTTTCGTTAAAGTCAAATTTTGGACTTTTGTAAGATTCGTGATAGAATTGGTGTCCAATTTTGGAATGAACTGATTTTTGATTGTTATTACCTCTGATGGTTTATGTTGAAGATGAGGGACAAGGCTATCATCAAATTCGATCAAAATCGTATCTTCGAAATCGAGACCTCGAATGTACACTGAAACATTATCGAAAATGCCACTTTTACAACTAGCTAAACCGGAAATTATCAATAAAATAAACAGTTGCATTTTGAAAGAAAGCGAAACGCTTACTGAAGAGTGGTAATGATTGTTTGATAACCTTTGCGCTCTTATCGTAATATTTTTCGGATTTAAGTTGGTAATAATTGAAATGAAAAGTTTTTTAATAACAGAGTTATCAAGGTTTCGTCAAATATTGCGCCGCCCTCAGTTTGCGACCTGATATGAAAAAGTTCACAACTTTGTTATTCTTTTATCTCGTCGTTTTGGGTTTGTAATTATAACTTTAATTAATTTTTTTTAACAAATTAGTTTAGCGCACATGAGTTCTGGAAAATGTATTAGTCCGAGTCAGGAGGTTGTAAAAACCACCACTTGTGACGAAGTAAACAGTGAACAAGTTGGTACACCTGAATGTTTCACAATTGAGTATCAAACAGGTTAGTGACACTGCAAATTTAATTTATTAATAAATTTAATCGTTCTAGATGATCTGACAAGCGAGGAAAAGAGTGGCATCTATAGAGGGTGATTTGTGAAAATTAATGAACCAACTTGTACTAATTTAAACAAGACTTACACGGGAAAAATCACTTGGTGTAAAAGTTGTGCTAAAAGCAAATGTAATCTATAATTATGACCTAAAAACTGATAACCTTTGTTTACAATAAATTTCATGGTATTTTTTTTATCAAAAATGTAATCTGGTCAAAAGTCAAATAACTTTAACCAACAACTGCGTTTAAAACACTTCTTAAAATGTCGAAGTTAACACCAATTCTGTTGTTACATCTACTTGTGTTAGGTTGTAATCTACTTTAATTAAGTAAAATTTTAATTAATCATTTTAGCTCATTCGGAACTAATTTGCTACGATTGTGATCCTTCCAGTTCTGGAAAATGTATAAGTCCTAGTCAGGATAACGTAAAAGTGACAAATTGTGATTATTCAAATCAAAATAGAGAAATTTCGATCCCTACAACAAGTCATGAGTGCTTCACTCTGGAATATCGGATTGGTTAGTTGTACCGATTGGTTCACTTTTTGATTAAATTTACTGTTTTAGGGAATAATTTTAAGGATGGAATTTATAGAGGGTGCATTTCGAAGGTCAAAGAACCAACTTGTGATAACTTAAATAGGACTCTAAAGGGTAAAGTGACTTGGTGTAAAACTTGTAGTAAAACCAGATGTAATTTGTAATTAGTCCCCGAAATATAACTGCCTTCCCATGACCTGGAAAAATTGCGAAATTTCTTGTTTAGGTCCTAAGACAAAACAACAGATAAGCCGAGGTTAACTGTAGGGTCACAATACTAAACCTAGTTTAAACAGTCTTAAAGTGACAATGGCGCAGCTCGGTTCCATCATTTCGCTAATATTACTTTTTGTTGTTGTAAACAGTGGTAAAAGTGCAATTTTTGAAAATGTAACAGTTTTACTAACAACCGAATGGAACAAACTTTTCTATTTCGGACGCACTCCTATGGAAAAAGTTTATATAGCGTCGTCTGACACGCTCGCCGAGTTTGTTAATTTGCAACCCTTGGAAATAGTTTGGATTCGTAACGGAAACATCCCTTATCTCCGCAAAAATTCTCTTTCTAATTTGCCAAATATCGTCCAAATCTCAGTAGTGTCAAGTGGGGTGAAAAAAATCGATCCTGGGACGTTCCAAAATGACCCAAAATTGGACATAATCAACCTTGAAAATAACCAAATCGAGGAAATTCCAAATGGGGCGTTCACAGGTCTCCATTTAAAAGCCTTGTATTTAAATAATAACCAAATTTCAAGATTGGGGAGTGCGGCGTTTAGTAACATGACAATGACTGTGCTCAAGTTGGATAATAACAAGATTTCGAGGTGGAGGAGTGAGGTTTTCATGGGTACTCCCATTGGTACCTTATCTTTGGCTAATAATCTTATCGAGGAAATACCAGCAAATGCATTTTCCTACGGATTTCAGTTTAAAAGGATTAATGTTCCATTGGCAGCCTGGCACGTGGTTTTGTCCCAAAATCGTATTCGCAAGATTCACCCACAAGCCTTCAATATGGTTAATGGTTTTGGTTATCTGAGTCTTGCTGATAATTATTTGACGGATTTACCGAAGAATTTGTTCCGTTATGTGAAAAATATAAACACTTTAGATTTGACAAATAATCAAATTTCTGACGTGAGAGGAGTGTTTGATGACATTAATATAAACCAGTTGGTGCTAATTAACAATACTATGAATTGTTTCCCTGATGAGGTGTTTGACATTTCAAGGATTAATTTCGTGTTTCTTGATGGCAATCCTGTGACTTGTGGGTGTGTATCAATGTGGAAAGACATCCAATTAAGAAATAACATTTGGGTTGTCTTCAATATGAAAGAATTAGAGAAGAATTGTATTGAAAAATAATTGTAAACAATATTTGAATAAACTAGTTTTGACATTTTTGACGTAATTTCTTGTTAATAATGTGGTATTTTTAGCTCGTAAGTCAAGGTTAATTCATTTTAACATCAGTTGTTCCCTGATTCTCAATATGGTAACACTTTTATGTCTCGTAATCGTGCTATTTGTGTCTCAAACTCAAAGTGTTACTTACGAAAATGTTACAATTTTGCTAACCACAAGACAAACAATCTACTACATTAATGATACAATACCACCAACAAAACTCCTTCAAATTCGATGTGACAACACCCTTGTCGAATATGTCAACAACCAACCGTGGGAAATCGTCAAAATCCAATATCAAAATGTCCCGAATTTATCCAAAAATGCAGTTTCACACTTACCAAATGTGACAGAAGTTGGTATTATTTCAAGTGGTTTAGAAAAAATCGAGCCGAGGGCATTTGGGGATTTACCAAAGATGGAATTTTTGTACATCAATGAAAATCCCTTGAAAGAAGTTCAGAATGGTGTTTTTGCTAATTTATCACAGTTGACTTGGCTTCATTTGGAAAATAATTCAATAGAGACTTTGGGTGACAAAGTTTTCAACGACTTACCAAGTCTGAGACATGTTTTCCTCGATGGAAATCGCATTTCGACTTGGAGGAGTGACTGGTTTGCTGGGTCACCTGTTGAGTCCATTTCGATGAGCTTTAACTCAATTGAGGAGTTGCCGAGTGACATGTTTGAGTATTACCACAAATTTAACGACGAGCGTCCATCGAGGCTTTGGTACTTGATTTTGGAAAGCAACAAAGTGCGAAAAATCCATCCGGATGCGTTTAGAGGGTTAAAAGAATTGGATTATTTGAATCTCAAAAATAATTCAATTAAGGAGCTCCCATCTGGTGTTTTTGGCACTATCACGTACATAAATAATTTCGAATTGAGTGATAATTTGATAAAAAATATTGATCCCTCAATATTTAATAATACATCGCTCAGTTACGTCAAATTGAGGAACAATAGATTGAGTTGTCTCCCTCTGGAACTTGTTAATGTGACTGAAATATATAACGTGAATATTGATGGAAATCCGGTCAGTTGTAATTGTGTCAAGAGTTGGAAGACTTGGCAAGAGGAATACAAGAAAGAAATTTTGTCACTTGGAGATATTGAACAAAATTGTACCAAATAAAATTAATTTTTGTAAATATTTTAATAAAAATTTTAATTCTCCATAAAAGACATATTTTTATTTCAAGAAGAATGAAAGTAGGTTAATTACAAAGTTCACTCCACTCAGATTCCTTACAAAAGTCTCAACAATAGCGCCTCAATTTTATTAAAAATTGGAATGAGTTCGCCGATGCGTTCGAGCTTCACGTCCTATAAATAAATATGGCACAACTCATCCCACGTTGTTATTCTCAGTCAAATCTAAATCTTTGATCGTTTAGCAGTACAAAATGCAACCGATTCGCTTCCTTATTTTTGCAATTTTAACCTATTTTGGGCCAGTATTGAGTGCGACGTTTGAAAATGTTTCGTTAGTTTTGAATTGGAGAAGTGGGACTCATAATCAAAAAATTGTAACAATTCGAAGAGACAACGAATTGAGGAATTATGTGGGCCAGTTTGGTGAGGTTTTAATCCACAATCAAAATATTCCAATACTTGAGAAAAATTCGATTAGTAATTTACCGAAGGTGACTCATCTGGATCTCACTGGTTGCAAAATTAGGAAAATCGAGCCTGGAACTTTCAGATTTTTGCCGGAATTGACTGATCTTAATTTAAGTGGGAATTTGTTGGAGGAGCTAGAAAATGGGATTTTTGATCAGTTGGGATTTAGGACGCTCTATTTAGAAAATAACAGGATTAAAAAAATTGGAGATTGGGTTTTCCAAAATTTAAAAATGGAGTACCTTTTTATTGATGATAACAGAATTTCGGAATGGAAAAGTGAGTGGTTTCGGGGGACTCCCTTAACGTCTATATCGTTACGAAATAACCAAATTAATTTTTTTCCAAGACTGGCATTCGAATTTCTTTGGCACTTAAATCCACAAAAAAATGTGATTTTAGAAAATTTTATTTTGAGTGGAAACAAACTGAAACAAATCGACGTCGATGCGTTTGTTGGAGTCAACGTAATTCTATCACTGGATCTACAAAATAATTCGTTGACATACTTGGAGCCCAGAATTTTTGATCATGTCAAAGTCATCGACAGAATTCAGTTAAGTAATAATAAATTAGCCCATCTCTATTATGAAAATTTCCGAAAAACTAAAGTTTCGGAAATTGATCTTTACGATAATTTGTTGGAATGTGTTCCAATCGAGATTTTCAATATCTCACAATTGGAGTATCTTAATGTTGAGAAAAATCCAATTAATTGTGAGTGTTATCATAGTTGGGAATTTTGGAAAAACAAGAATAAAAAGCCAAAAATTAGTGGATGGAAGAGGTTAGAAAATGAGTGCAAAATTCCATCAAGTGGGAACGTAATTTTTGGCTTCTTCCCTTTTGTAATATTGATGTGTTTAATTGTATTTAATTAGTTTGAAAAATAAAATTTGTGTTGATTTCTTTCTTGATTTATTTCTACGTCCGCGATCACGCAATTACATACAAGGGGATTAAATGGAATAAGACATATGTTGATTTTCATTCTAATTATTCGCGTAATTAACCACCATGTTATATCTAATAAGTGCAAAAATATTTACGACTATGCCCTAATTCAGTCCGAGAAAGTTATATCTTAAAAATGTTCTGATAAAAAACCATGAATAATAACGGTTTATTTACATAAATATGCAATAAAATTTCGCTTGCAAGATATTTAAATTTGTATTAGTGCAGCAGTGAAAGTAATTTTTCCAAAACAATGTCCTTTATTGAATAATGAAAATTGCAAAATGAACCGAATTTTATGAGGCGAATTAATTGCATGACTGGCTGTTAAATTAGATAGGAGGTAAGTAAGTAAATCATTAACCCAAATGATGTCATAATCAATTAGAGATAATAAAGTGGAATTATTTCATTTAATCCGAAATTAATTTAGTGGAAAGCTGCCAAATCTTGTCGTTTGAAGATTTTCCATCAAAGAAACAAAGCGTAAACACAATCGTAATTAAATCCGTCTCGAAACCAGTCGAAAATCCTCTTATTTTATTAAAATTAGAAAGCACATTAATGAAATTAAAAGTTTGGCTTGAAACCACTCGAAACGTCAATGGTTTTGTTGGGTTAAATTCGGCATGAAATTGCGACAACTGAAACTTTTCGTTGACTTTTCTTCACTGGAAAATAGCGACAAAAACGAAAACTTTCGACTGAAAAATGTTAATTTATCAAGCAATTTTCTCAATTAATGACTTATTTGCATGACAATTATGATACACGCGTTTTGCGAGAAATCAAAGATCAGGGCTTAATTGAAGTAAACCGAGCTTTAAGCTCCAAACCAAGCCAATCATGAGGGTGTTTAATTTTGCTAAATGTGTGACCCAGTGCCAGACCATTAAGGAACGAAGAGCTTTAAATGGCTCTATTAAACTCAACGAGCGAATAAAAATTCTGAATTTTTCCTTTAATGTTTGAGATAAGAGAGGAAGTCGAGTGGCATCGTGTTTCAAACCATTTACATTAATTTAAAAAAAGAATATTTCTTTGCAAAAGTTGTTGATTCTAGGAGTTATCTCAAGCCACAAAGATTTTACGTTATTAAAAATTGGACAAACATCAAAATCAGTCATGCGACAAAATCCCATTTGTTACCATTGATGAAATTTGTAATAAAATATGAGCAAAATTCGCGCATTTGTCAATTATAAAGATAATTAAGATGCTTAATATTTCTGCCACTTTAAAAACAAACGTAAACACATTCTTACACATTTCAGAAAAGTAAGTCAAGTCCTCGAATTACCTTTATCCATTCATCTATGAACAATTAAAATATAGTTTTTTTGTTCTGCTTGATCAAATCATAAAACTATATTTTATAATTAATTCAACATGCAAAGCTACAAAATAATTACAAGTTGCGAGTAAATGTCAACGATTGAAAAAGGTAAAGAAAGTCAAGTTGAACTAATTCTCCAGGCTGTACAAAATCATTTTTTTTGACTTTTAGAACTAAATTCCAAATTAACTAAGGTAATATTTTGCCATAACTTGCACCGATTCTAGCAAAAATAATTACAAAAAGTGCTACAAGCTTTTTTAGCCTTTATGGAATATATTTCGTTTGAGTCCGAGTAATTTTAGTGATTATATTTCATATCTGTTGAAAAACTCTATAAATATTCCGTTTCCATGTATTTAAATGGCGCCGAGAGCCCGTCTCATTTGCAAATACCGCACGCGTTCTTCGAGTGGTCAACAAATTAATTCCCGATGCTTGTCGAATAATAGAAAGTGATCTAAAAGAGCAATTAAATCACTGAAACCTTGAAGGTGTCAGTGGGTGTATTTGGCCAAATTTCAGCTCCCATTGTCCGAAAAAAAGCCATAAAAAATGATTTGGACTGGCATATACAAGGCTGACCTTTTAAATAACCGGATTATTTTGTAAGTCGTAGACAGGTTAGTGCAAAGAACGTGTAATTAATTCGAAATTAAAATTTTTCCGAATATTGTTCGGTCGAAAACCACCACAAATTTGTGAACGAAAGTGATTGACTTACATACGAATTGACGAAAGTGAAAATCGGTGAATTATGCATGACGATATTTTTCATATTTAAATTGGCATAACGGTGATTTGTACAATACTTGAATTACAAGTAAATAGAAAATTTTAAGAGCTAAAAGTGGTAGCAGTAATGAGCGGAACTCATTTAGTTATCTAATAATACTGTCGCCAGCGTGGAGAGTAAATCAAAAGATAATCGAATAACAGTTAGAAAGTCAGAAGGGTCAAATGAAACGGTTATGGAAATGAATTCGAAGTATGCCATCAAAAAATTACAAAATTTTGGAGTTTATTAGCTCAACTAACCCACAACATGTTTACTGTTTCAGTCGCTTACCGCATACAAATGCAAGTTAATAATTAAATGGGGCGTAAATGTTTGCCGACGCTGTGTTATTAACAAAGTGTAGATTTATACTCAAACGAAGCTTTGTTTTGTATTTTTCTCCCGATTATTATGTTCACAAATTAATTACTCGAGTTTCAAAGAGTAACCATTACTTTTTACGACTAGACTGAAGGACATTAATGTATCTATATATTCCCTTGAGTATCAATTAAAATAATGGCATGTTTGTCTACATGTAGTTACACTAAATAGGCATGTTGGGATCGTCTCTTTATGACAAGCAATAGGAAAAATTCGTGTTAACAATTTTTATTTTTGAATTTTCTTGTCTGACGCGAAATTTCTATCTTGTTTCAAACTACACAAAGCACTGAATAAACTTTGAAAAGTTTGCATCAAATCGATATTTCAACGAGGCAAAATGTGTTCTTTCTTGAATTAATTGTGGGAAATGATTTAAACTGTTTTAATGGCTTTGATTTAATATTGTCGAACAATATCAACTCCTTTTCATTATTAATAATGTATAGCTACTGAAAGTTAGCTGGCTGTAATTGTCAATTAAAATTTCGCTTCCAGCAATAATTCTTGATGAATGTTTCAGTCATTGTCAGGTAATTAACTTGTGGAAAATAAAAACAAACAATGCATTTATAGTGTCAACAGTCAAGTTTTGCAATTTTATATAAAATAATTGTTGAGAAAGCTAAGCAGGTCAGAAAGAAAAAAAAAATTAGGGAGCAAAACTGAAACAAAGGCGAACAAAAGAGTAATCACATGAGTTTATGAATTAAGAGAAAATGTTTTTAAGAATTAACAATGGAAACGGAAATATTTTGATCTAATAAATTGAATAAATAATTTCTCATCATATGTCTAAACTCTAAACCAATCCATTTTTTTATTTACTTCTTTCTAATTTTTTAACTGCTTATATTTTACTGTTTTTTGTCAAATCGAATTTAGATAACTTTTAGAAGGGTTCTCTCAAAAATTGACAAAAATTATAAAATACATACACGGCTTCTAAACTAAAGCTTTAAATTCATATTTCAGCATTTTTTAAAGAAAATTAAGAAATACAATGAACGTGTTGATAAAAATCTTCAACATTTTTGTAAAAATCTTTTACTAGATATTCTTTTTTCTCTCTTTTATTCCATGCCTCGGGAAATGTATTTATTTCCTCTACAAGATTGTTGATATACAGGCTGCGCCAGAACTCGCGTAAGATACCAGGAACATGAGAAAAATGTTAAAAAAAAATTATCTATAAAAATTTCGAAGTTATGAGAGTTTAAATTTTGCACCTTGACTATTTATTTCTTTTGGAAAATTAATTCCGATATTTCTAAGAAATTCAGCGTAATTTTCAAAAAAAAATTATTTTCGATAATTGAAAAAAAAATCCAGTAATTCTAGAAAAAACATTCTAGTACTTTACAAATAATTCCAGTAATCCATCATAATACCATTGTTTTGAGATTAATTCCTCTAATTAGAAATTAATTTTTGTAATTCCAAGAAATTCAACGGGAACATAATTTTCAAAAGAAATTACCTGTCTCCGATAATTATAAAAAGAATTACAAATAATTCTAATAATTCGAAACAATTCCAAGATAATTTTAACACTAACTAATACCAATATCAAATAATTCCAAGCAACAGCCCTTCGTAGGTATACATTTACTATCAACATACAGGCTGCGCCAGAACTCGCGGCCCATGGCGGAAAAATTGTTAAAAAAATTCTGTCTATAAAAATGTTGAAGTTATGAGAGTTTGAATTTTGTACTTTGACTCTATTTATTTCAGTTGGAAAAATAATTTTCCAAGTTTTTTTGCTACAGACTATTAGAAGAGAAAACAAGGAAGCTGTATCCTAAATTGTAACTTTGTTTAATGTTATTTGTGGCTAAATGAAAATTATCTCTGGGGCGCGAGTTCTGGCGCACCCTGTAGAAACCTAGCAAGATTCCCAAACTTGATTTTTTTAAAACTTACTTTGAGAATTAAGTAAATATAAGCATTTCTAATAAAAATGGGGCAAAAACTAATCAATTATTACAAACAATTCGTGTGAAATTTCGAGAAACAATTGGCCATTTACAAAATCACAAACTCTCACTCTCACGGGGTAAGTTAGTAAAAGTAGAAAATAGTAATGTAATGTGAGAAGAAAGAGTAAGTATCTTTATTATTATTATTATTATTTGTCATAGCAAGGTATTTTTTCTATATTTATTTATTTCCTCCAGACCTGAAAGCGTATACCGGGTGCGCCAGAACTCGCGCCCCAGAGAAAATTTTCAAGTAAGGTAAAATACCAGGAACATGAAAAAAATGTTTGAAAAATTCTATCTGTCAAAAAATTTTGACATTTATTTTTTGACATTTGACTTTTTTTTATTTCTATATAATGATACTGATGATATTGTATATGTTTTTTTACAATTATTTAGTAAAGGGACAAAAATTTTGCCAATAAAAACCACAAATAACATTGAACAGAGTTACAATTTAAGATACCTCTTCCCTGTTTCCTTTTTTAATAGCCTATAGCAAAAAAACTTAGAAAATTATTTTTCCAACAGAAATAAATAGAGTCAAAGTGTGAACTTTAAACCCTCATAACTTCGAAATTTTTATAGATAATTTTTTTTTAACATTTTTTCCATGTTCCTGGTATCTTAATATATTTTTCTCTGGGGCGCGAGTTCTGGCGCACCCTAAATATGTAAAAAAATTAAACCCACGAACCTTGCTTTGAACATCCTGTATCCCTTTTATATTTCCCACAAAACTTCGCTCAGGTAGGCTGCATTTCTGCACACTGGCGGTGATTTAAATGCACCAAAGCTCCCCGAATTTCGGAAAGCTCCCAAAGTTAGCACACGTCTCACTTGAAATTTTTTTCCTAAATATACCGGCACGCACATTCACACACTTTTCGCACGCACTTGGCACTCGCGGCGCTTCTGTACCTGACGTTAGCAGTTGTTAAAGTAACTCCGCTGAACTCTACAGGTATCAACAACTCCCACCATCGATGACGGTGTCTCTGTCGGGAGTATGGGAGGAGTTGAAGGCGTCTCTGTCGCACCGACAGGCGCTGCTGGAACAGACTTTGCTAACGGTACAGGTAATGTTTGTTTATATGCAATGACCAGTTTTTGTAATTAATCGAAACTGTTTTTGGGCTACGAATGTAGTTTAAGGATTTTAGTGACAATCTGGCCAAATAAATTGACGAAATTGTTATCTACGAAATTCTGAGTTGACGTGAAAAAAACGGTAATTACAGTTGGATGGTAAAGTTTCGTGTTAACTGGATTTTTTCTCAATTTTTGGTCGGTTTGTTCTCATTTATATCCTCTTTTCTACAAGGGTTTAACGCGAGGCTTTAAAGTGGCACTTATTTTTAAGTAAATTTTTAAGCTCTTGGAGGTACATAATTATATTTCCTTTTCGGTATTGAAGTAAAAAGCTTTAAAAAATGAATCAGATATTAAATCAGACTCTAAAATTTCTTGAAGACCTGTCTAGGTATTAATAGTGGCCAATTGTAGTTTCAAAATCAGGAATGATTTTTTCGAATTTCAAAAATTTTGTAAATTTCAATTTGTTTTTGGTCTTATTATATTAATTTTCACTAATATGACTGAATAGTTTCGAATAAAAGTGTTTTATTTTTTCTTTGTCTGTAATTGATACTGAAATTACATATCATGCAATAAAATATCTATAATTAATGTGGACCACAATTTCTGTTGTCATGGTTGGTAACAATGAGGTGGCGACTTTATAACTCCTAATTTCACTGAAATTGGCGGAAAAGTGTTTTTTCTTTTGCTTTAGTTAACAATAAATTTTTGTGTTTTGTCCATATTTAAGAATTTTGTCATCTGACATAAAACCTGCAAAAATATATAAATAGTTTGTCCGTGAAATTCCTTAAATTTCTCTGCCAAATAAGCAGTTAACACAAACAAATTGTAAAAAGCGCAAAGATCAAGACCACTGCGAAATGTTATAATCACGACTTCAATACCGTTACGTTTGCGCTTTTTTTCGTTTTCTTCGTACACCATGTATTTCCGCTTGTGAAACCCAATAATTATTAAATTAAACGCCAGAATAGTTAGACAGGTATAAAAAGTGCAAGCCATTGAGCTTAATAATCCTCTTAAGGATTTATTCCAAGAAGGAGTTATTAATAAATAAAACGTGTTCACCAAATTTCAAACGTCAAGTCAATCATTTAAAGAAAACAGAGCACTTTGTATTGGATGTATACTGATGCTATCGGATTAGAGAAATGCAAAATAGATGTCGAGAAAAAAAAAGGCAGTTTGTCAACGATTTTGTGTAAATTTTGCATATTAGTTAAGATTTTTACTTGGTTTGGGTATCCCGACTTTAAAAAATAGGAAGATACTTCAACAATTAAGACTATAATTTTTTACTAACAATTATGAGATAGTACCGGAAGAGACTGGAAATTTAACTCGTTATATTGTGATTTAGAAGGTGGTAAAGGCGAGTTTCGTTTGTTTCGGACATCTTCACGGATTTATCAAAGTGAAATTTTTTTTCCGTCGCCTCAAAAATTTTGGTCCATCTATCACATGTCGCATTACAGCCGGCCGCGAAGTAGGGGTAAAGTGAAAAGCTCTCGGCAGAGCAGCTAAGGCCAATATGGGCGTCCATGGCTCGCATCAGCTGACCGTGTAGCATTTATATTCTTACTCATTCGTGCCAGTGCTCCGCGGTATTTGTGTTTTGATCAGTGTATTCATGTATTGATGTGTATTGATCCGAAAAAAAGTTTCACTTGCACCGTGGTTTCTTTAAACCATTGTAGTTTTTTTTATTTAAGTTATTTTCAACTGACTATGGTCTATGTTGTAGTGTAGGATATCGTGCTTCTACTGTAAACTTTTAAAGATTGCTGTCATTTATTCAGAAAAATGGACCTATGTCCGGAAATATTTCTTAAGGGCATTGACAATTTAAGAACAGTGTAAAATGTATTAATTAGATATTAATAAGCGTGTTTAATTTGATTTAAAACTTTATTTAACCTGAGAGCTGTCGTATGCAACCAGTTATACACAAGTTAGTTTATTTCAGGTTACTAACGACGTCCTAATAAATTTTTAACAAAGACCAGAAACAGTTTTTTGTTCAACTATTTGTGCTCGCAGGTGATTGTTCAATTTTTTGTAACCACTAACGATTTTTCTTCAACTTTTTGTGACCCCAACCGTTTTTTTTTTGTTTTAAAATTCAAACAAAATTGTTACTTCAAAGGCCTGTTACACTTTTTGTGCCCGTGGGCAAATTTTTGCAACCACGAGTGATTTTTTGATCAGTTTTTTACAAAGACTACAGTTTACCCAGTGCTCTTTTTTGATCTGCAGATGTATTTAAACAGTTGTTAAATGAAAGACAAAAGTAAAAGTTATTTCTTTATTGCAATATTTTTGTTCTTCAAGACACAAAATACGATTCTCTTATATAATTAGCACCTTTAGTGTTTTTTTTTAATTTCTTTGTAGTTTTGTCCACACGAAAACAGTTAAACTGTTTTAATACAAAGTAATAAATAATAAAATACTGCATAAATAGATAACATGCTTGGCAAGAAACCACATTTCGTAATAATTCAAACACGTATTTAATACAAATAAATACTTTTCCTAAAACACAAGAATTACATAAGGAACTTTACAAATTTCGTGCAGTATTACCAATATTTAAGTAGCTTAATTACTTGAAGGCAGTATAAAAAAAACGAAGAACTTGTCTTACTTAAACAAGCATTGACTATGATAGCAGTCTACCACCACTATAACTTAACATTTCTGGAAAAAAATACAAAATAAAAACCAACAATTTGGATAGTTTTATCCATGGGAATGATAAGATGAACCCAAAAGTCGTAACAGTTAAAATAAATTAATTTAAAAAATCATATATACAAAGCAAATAAACCTAACATATTCACAAAAATTTCGACAAAAATCAGTCTTCCAAATGATGCAAAGGCACTGGTGATTTTCTATTCGTGTAAAGTATCGACGGACATTGCTAGATCCCGATGATTGGACATTCGACCAGAAGGTGACGCCATTTTGATGGCGATTTCGTCACGAAGATGGGCTAGGACTTTCCGGACTTCGACGTTTTGCGCAGGTGCGAGTCTTAGAGCTTCGCGCATGTCAGCTAAAGCATTTTCGTATAATTTTAAGTCAAGTTTGGCCTTAGCTCGTGAGTAGTAGGCTTCGTATGAGTCGGGATTCATAATTAGAACTTCGTTTGCTAATTCCATAGCTTCTTCTGTCTCCTAAAATTACGTTACGTTAAGATTAACAGTGACTAAAGTCAATGGGACTTACGTTAAGTTTTCGTTTACATCTCGAATAATTCAAGAGAAAATTCATTTGCAATTGCCTGAACGCTTTATTATGTTCGGCTTGATCGTTATTCGGAAACTTTTTAAGGGCGTATTGGTAGCGATGGGCCGCCTCCCTTAGTCTACCCTTGCGATATAACGTGTTACCATCTTCAAGAAGTTTATTCAGGAGAATAAGCCTGAGAAAGATTATTAAAATTTGACTAAAGTTACCTGACACGGACTTACATTATATCTGGCTTGCCTGAAGCCATGGCCCACGTGGCTGGCCCCAATTTGGCCCCTTTTTTCAGAAAACATTGCACTACTTGGATATTCCTACAACCTATGGCTCGGTCTAGAGGTCTCATACCGTTAATATCGACATGTTCGATGAGAGCGCCACTGTCGAGTAAAAGTTGAACTGTGGCTGGATTTCCTTGAAATGCTGCCAAATCAAGGGGAGTTCGTCCAGTCTTGTCGGTGTGGTTTATGTTGGCACCTCTTTCGATAAGACATTGGACAGCTTTAAGTTTGCCTCGAAGGCAGGCCCAACAGAGGGGTGTGAGGCCCTCACGGTCTTCCTTGTTGATTTCGGCCCCTAAAATACAAAAAACGCTCTAGAAAATCCTATAGTGGAAGATAAAATAATGAAGTAAACTTCAGAGAATCCTAGAAGGATATTAATAGGCGGTGGGGAAACTTGAGCAGTGGCGTAACAGAGAACCATTCTGTGATAAAAAGGGGATTGTAGAGTATTTTCCGTATATTCATAGTCTGAGATATTAAATGTAAAAAATTCGATGCTCCCCCATTATTTCAAATATACGGTGATATTAATTTCTGTATAAATAAAAGATGAACAAAAAGTAACGAATATTAAAAATATAAACATAACATTTTTGTATCATAATTAATTTTAATTAATTTTTCAAAGTTAATATTCATAAGATGCCCCTGTTAATAAGTATAAGTATATTAAACATTTTTTAACGATGTTTTGTTTTCATACCTAGTCAATAAGATTTAAGAAGATGAAGAAGTCTCAAATTCTTAGCGACCAATCAATAACTCTTGTAATAAAATTTATATTAAAGAACATTTTTGTATTATCTACTTACTTAAAGCAATCTCTGTTTTTTCATTTCTCAAATTATGTAATATACAGTGTGCCCCAGTGAGTTGAAAAAGTCCATTAAGTGGTAAAATAAAAAAAAATATATAGGATGTTGATAGATACAAGTCCTCCATCGCCTAATAAAATTTTCAAATATACAACGTGTTTCAAAAATAAGTTACAATACAAACTTGTGCTTTTTTAAATAAAACACCACATGTTTCTTGGCATTTTTGGATGAAGATTTTTATGACAATGTTTTTAAGCTAAAAAAACATGCACTTTTTAAAAATATATTACACAAAAACTAAGACATCAAGAATTTTTTTTCTAACGCAAAGAAGAAGGTACAAGCTATAAGGTTGTAACATTTTTTTAAGTGTGTTGCATTTGCAAAGATAAAAAAGTGAAGGCGATTGTTGAAAGTTCAATAACTTAAAAAATTTAAATGGAACACCCCATTTATTCTTTCTGCATTTAAAAGATTATTAAATTGTTTTTCTAAAATTATTTACTTTTAGGTGTTTATAATCAATAACTAACATTAACATTAAACATTAAAAAAAAATTACTATTGTTTCAGTAGGCAAAAAGTTCACAGTTACACAAGAGATGGAAGAAATATTACTTCATAATCAAATTTGTGTTAAACTGAATCCATTATTCTTTATTTTTACAATAAAATAATTCGAATTTCAGTATTTATAACGACTCTTACAATCTCTGGATAAATAAACGGATAAGTGATCCGTGGTGGAATTACTATGGTTGCCCAGACATTGATAGGCATTGTTGCTACAATTAATATTCTATGTTAAATATCTTTTCATTTATCAATTCTAGACATTAAAAGTTTATTTTTTTAGATAGACAATTTATCAATCTATTAGATGCAAAAATAAAAAATAGGGTGTTCCATTTAAATTTTTTTAAGTTATTTAACTTTTAACAAACTTCTTAATTTATTTTTTATCTTTACAAATACAAAACACTAAAAATTGCTTCAGCATTAAATTCTGTACTTTCTTCTTTGCAGAAGGAAGAAAAAATTTGTTCTAGCTTGTGTAATGAATTTTTAAAAAGTGCATGTTTTCGTCAAAAAAACATCTTATTTCTAAAACTAAGCAAAATCGATTAATAAAAGTTTAGCGAAAAACATTGTTTTAAAAGGCTACATCCAAAAATACAAAGAAACATACGGTGCTTCATTTAAAAAAACAGAAGTTTGTATCGTAACTTATTTTTGGGACATGCTGTATGGTTGAGAATAATTTTAGGTGATGCACTAGATTAATGTCCTATACATTTTTTTTTAATTTCACCATTTAAAGGTCACTAATAAATTTTTTCAAAATCCTTCTATAACTCTCTGCACTTTACATAACTTTTCGTTCTCGGAATACCAACCTTTATTGAGTAATAACTCAATTAGTCCCACGTGGCCTTCCGACGCTGCCAACATCAAGGGTGAGCGTCCTACATTATCACTCTGTTCAATAGCGGCATGATTCTGTATCAGTCTTTCAGCTACAGCCCAATGTCCCTCCTTCACGGCTAGTAACAGTGGTGCCATCTCTTTTTTATTACAAACAGAAAGACTTGCTCCTCTGCCAATCAAAGCTGTACACACGCCATGACACCCATTGGCTGCTGCCACCGTCAAGGCCGTTTCCCCGGTGATACTATCAGTGGCGTCAACATTGACCTCGGCCATATCTAACAAATACTCGACAATATCAACATGACCTTGACTTGCAGCCGCCACTAGAGCTTGTTGTGCTGCTTCTCCCAATTCGACATCTTCCGGATTTTTGATTATCCAATCACAGGCGAGTAAATAACCGACGACGTTCAAACAACCGTTACGCGCCGCGTGGACCAATGGACAATAACCGGCGGTGTCCACGTGACCTGGACTTGCTCCAGCTGCCACCAGATGACGCACAATATCACAATGACCCTTAGCTGCGGCTAGAGATAGAGCTGTGGAGCCTTGACTGTTGGTTAGTTCTACGTCGGCTCCAAATTCAAGCAACAGGGAAACCATTGGTACAATTCCCTCATTGGCGTAAACACAAAGGACAGGAGCGTTGCCCAAAAAATCAGTGATATGATTGGGGGAAGCCCCGGCGAGGAGCAAAAGACGGGAAACTTTGACATTAGGACTGTACATGTTTCGCAAGTTGCATACAGCTGATGAGACATTCTCAGAGCTTTCACACACCCAGAAAGCTTGCAAATCGCGCGCTGTTATCGTACTAAGTGACATGTTGCGATAGACGTGTGCTTTAAGTATGTGATGGCCCAATTCTAAGGTTTTTTCTTCATCGAGAGGAGCTTGAACGCGTGATAAACGAAACGCGATGCCCGAATGACCGGCTCGCAAGTCGCACAGGAATTTTGTATTTTCGTTATCGTCGCGTCTGATGAGCCATTCCCTGAAGCTAGGGTGGAAAAACATATAAGTGTTGTCTAAGCGTTTTACTAGAAAGCCAGAGAGAAGTTTGAAGCGCTGAAAGAACTCAGTCCAAGGTAAGAATTTATCTACAAGGAGTGAATTGACGGAATAGTAAATCTCGAGAAGAGTTAGAGGATAGAGCGCGGAGAGACACACACTCAATATGTGAGTAACTTTCTCGAAGGAGCGGACGGTGGGGAACCGCAAGTTGAAGTGGAGAAGATAGATTTGGGCCAAAGTCACTGGTAACACTTTATAACCACTGGATTTCGCCACTAGATGTCCACGTTCGATCAAATCTAAAGTTAGTTTGACAAAGAGAAACGAGCCGTGGCTTAAGTTGAGTAAATGTTGGGAAAATTTATGCTGAGACACACTGCCACTTTCCAATTTCCCGGAAGTGCTGGAAGTGATGTTGCTCTGAATACTCGGGCTATTTTGGAGCCGGAAGTTGATATAACTAAGGATATCCTTAGTGATATTCTCGTTAGAATTGGAGTTGTCTAGACTGATCCTCGTGTAGGGCAATTGTTTGGTCACATCCTGGAGCTGGGTCCGAACTGTGGCCACTATTTTTAACCATGACGGGAAATTGGGCGAATGTCTGGCCAAAAATGAAGTTATAGTATCCCCATGGTCCGGTCTATGGTACTCAGCTTCACACAAAGCGTCGACCAGAATCACACAGTTCAAATTTTCGAGTTTGCCAACTCGGCGAAGACTTGCCAAGGGTTCGAGGATTCCTCGAGTCAATGCCGTATCAGGATTCATAATACACTCTTTAAGGGAAAGAGCGGCTTGGAGGTGCGGCTCACTTAGCAAATAATCCCTATACCCTGACAATTGCGGTGCTTGACACAACTGTGCTGCCACTGAGTGGATAAAATCAGGTACTAGACAAGTATTATTGTTATCAGCTTGACAAAAATGGTACGCGACCACACTATTAGCTAAGGGTTTAAGTCGTTCGGAGATTAAATCCATTTGGTAGTAGATGTTTTGAGGACTTCGGGACCGCTCCGGGGAGTGAACTGATTGGTAGATAGGTTCTTTCCGGCGTCCGAAACAGCTGTGTTCCACCAATTGCAAGATAAGGGCGGTTTTACCGGTTCCAGGGTTACCGGTAAGGAGAACTCCGGGACTCGAAGAGCCTGGAAAAATTAGTGAGACCGAACGCTAAATAGGAAAAAGTAACTTACCAACAATGTCCTCGATTTCTTTGATTAACCAATGCCGGCCGAGAAACAAAGGATCGGGTTCTTGGAGTGGTACTTCAAAAAAGAGGGGTTTGAGGGTTAGTTGAGGTGTCCGATATTGGGCGAACCGGATTTTGGGGTCAACAGGGCCTTTGATGGTTCCGGTCCGAGCCGAGCGGCGGATGCAAGTCCGGCGATTGCGGAACATGTTGAGATCTTCGACTTGACCAGGTTGAGATGCTAGGAAAATTATGAGTTTTTTTTTTTTTTTTTGAGGAATAGTGACTTACTTGTGACGCTGTGTCGCCGACTGACGGGACTCGAGCTACAGTTACTTTGGCCTGACATCGACATGGACATGAGTGAGCCGACACTGTCAGAACTGGGATTAATCCTATGTTGATCCTCGGAGCTCCCTGTGAGGGTCGAAACCGGACTCGTGTTGGTCGAAAGGATAGCAGCGGCGTCGTAGCTGGCAAGAGACGAACACGACTCGTGATTCCTCCCTTGTATCCTCTTGGTTCTTCTCGCACCTTCTCCCAACAGCAAGCCGAGTCTCATGTACATATCATTATCAGAATTCTTCTTATTTGAGATTGGTTTAACAGTTCCACCTTCATCATCTGCAAAATTACATTTAATTAAGCGCTTTTCTCGCTTACAACTCAATTACACTCAACAAACATAGCATAAAACGAAATTAATTAAGAGAACGGAAGCAAAAATAATTAGCACAGGTGCTACAAACAACAAAAAATCGGTGCGTGTTCATGCGGAACTAACTAAAATAATGACACCATGCGGGAAATTTTGAGCCCTGCCTGACACTAGTTGGTTAAGTCCGGCACTGGGACCGGACGTTCCTGCCGACCACAAAGACCGGATTTTGCTCAAGACCATACTGGGCCAATGGCGGCCCTCGGAAGACGTCGACGAGGTCATAGCTATGCCAAAAAATTATTTTTGAACACTTTGTATAATGATACCAACTTACCAGAAGACGCGGAGTCTACGGGAGGCTGCTGTCTTGCGTTTCGTAGCCCAAAGGGACTCCTCAATCCTTTGGGACTCAGGAAAAATTTTCGACGAGTTTGGGGCGGAGTTGGACAACTTTGGGTCATTACGCCTTGGTCTACGCGAGTCCGGGGGTTGGAGGGCCGGGTTTTGGGAAGTTTCTCCGGGTGACCTAGCTCGGACGTTGATAATTCCTGGCGCCCCTGTTGCAAGGTAGAATGTGAAGAATGTCGGCAATTTCTCGGTGATTTAATTGATAAGAAAAATATTGCGAGGTCGGTGGAATTGTTCAGCATTCTCACGATATGGATTTTTTGTAAAAAGGTTTGATAAAGAGGAAAGTAGCACTTCTCAGACTTTTCCATGTCTTGTAAGAGCGGCATTTCCGCTAGCTATCAGTTCGTAAGCTGTTAGAGTTTGTATTTTATTAGGATAATAAGCATAGCACAGCGGGTAGCTAATTATATGCGATGTCATAAATAGTCCAATAGCTATTATCGTAAATTGTAGGCTTGAAAAAGAAAGTTGTGATTTAAAACCAGTGACAGAGACTGGTGCAAATTTAAATATTTCCTTACTCATCTGAAAAGATGATGGATGGCGGTCGTAAGCGTTTTCTTGTAGACTAACATCAATTATTGTCTCTTGTACAAATTGAGGTATATAGGAAGAAAAATTCCAGCGTTAATGTCTTGGGTATGCATTGTATTGTCATTGTATGGGTATGTATTAGAAAGTAAACGCTTTTCGCATTGGGAGAACTGAATAAATAAATAAATAAGTGACGAAAAATAAAACAAGACTGCTTTTCTTGTGACAGGATTTACGATGCAAATTCCGGGGCGGGAGTTTTAAATTGAAAACCATTAACATATCCGTTTCGGTTTGCCGTTTGAAATTGTAATGTACGAGCAAAACCTTATTGAGACATTTAATGAACCTTGTAATTAGCTATCTATAGAAGAAAAACTTCTCTCCTACATTCAGTTGAATGGGAGTTGACCAAAGAATTATAAAACTCAAAAAAATTGTATACTACTTCAAAAAATTAAAGGGACAAAAATTTTTTCTAAATTTTTTGGTGCTTTTTAAAAGGTAGGTAATTCGTCTAAAAATGGTCGTATTTAGATTAAAAAAACTGTATTGAAGCTTTTAGTTTCTAATTTTGAGATCTTTTGGTAAATTTTTTTCATTTTTTTTTCATTTAAAGTCAGATATCTGAGCGACAAATTGACGTAAAGAGAATATAAAAAAAGCATATTAAAGGTAGACAAACATGCTATGCGGCCTATGCATTGACTTAACTAAAAAAAAATCCCGAGGTCTGTTGACCAAAAACAAAAACAAGAAAATTAACAATTTATTTTCCGACGATATTACTTAGGATTGCGGGGTAACCGTAGCACAGAAAAGAAATTTGCTAAAAGATCTCAAAACTAGCAACTTAAAGCTTCGAAATGCTTTTTTTAAATTTAGATAGGTACAACAATTTTTTGATGAAGCCTTTAAAAAAATCACCAAAAAATTAGGAAAAATTTTGGTTCCCTTCATTTTTTGGATAGTGTAGTTCAAAATAGATCTCTAATAGATTAGGATTTTTAAAGTTTGTTGGTTAGATTTTGTAGATTTAGTAAAATATTTAATATGAGGTATTAATTAAGTATGTCCCTCCAGAATTGTTTTTTTCCTTTTGGTAATAAATTGCACGAATTCATAAAAAAGGTAAAAATTCTGGTGGATTTAATACAAATTATGTAATGAAAATAATGATTTCAAATAATATTACATGATGTTGACAAGACATTAAGAGAGCATTAATTGTGCTTAACTTAATATTCCAACTTAATCATTTCAAGTTTGCTTTACTTATTTGAAGACATCTATTGATGTAAATGTAATAATTAGCAACAGCTGAGGACTTATTTTCATTATTAATGTGATATAATTCGAATGTTAATTAACACGGCAATTACACATTCTCCTAAACAGAATAATTCTCCTAAACAGAATAATTGAATTTATAGCGCGGAAAGTATGTATTTTCTTCCCTAGGTTTCTAAACTAAGTAAATTGGTGCTGCTTGTCGGAAAATATCAGAATAATACAACCATTTAAGCCATTTCTTCGCTTCTTTCGTCGAAATTACCGCCACTTATCCGTACAATTCGTGTCGGCTGAGGCATAGAAAGCCAAGAATGAGGAAACTTATTCCTAAACGGCATAACCGTCGTCTACTCAGCGTAAATCGCGCTAAAATTGTTCTCAGCCGACAATAAATAGGAATTACTCGAAAAGTCCCCTTCTTCCTCTTTGGCACCGTTCCAAACAACTTACGCATCCATTAAGGAGAGCTTGTTTGATCACTTTTACGAACGAATCGAAATGAATTAATTACAACGTGCTGCATAAATTCGTTTTGTAAAAATGCAACGACATTAAACGGCCATGTTAGCAATGGACGGCGTGACGGTGCTAATGAATTATTTATGAATTTTTAGGTGTTAAAACGTGTGTTTTTTCTCTCGAGTAAGCATTAGCGACTTTCACGAGATTTCATTAAACCAAATTTACAACCACTGTACCTGCATGAAGGTCGTAAAGTGGCCATTGGTCTTGACTTTGGTCCTGGGTTGGATTCTGTCTTTTTCGACCGGAGACTCTCCATACAGGGTGATCTCGGAGCCCCTCAATCCCATACAACCCATCGATGATTGAGGTGTGTCTGCGAACAAAATACTTTCTAATAACCCAAGAAAAAACTCGAAAACAAATCAAAATTTTGACAGCATTTTGCATCAGCGTTGGCGGTGAAATCTGCACACGCCCTTGGCTCGAGGACATGCAAAACCTTTTCCTATTGTGTATGTGATTTTATCGCAGTTGAAGACAATGTGGACGAGGATATGGGCAATGTTGCCTGTTATTAGGGGCAATTGGGTCAAGAGCAGGAATGCCAACCCAACAGCTATCATTAGCGAGAGATTGGAGATAATGGGGCAATTTTCAACAGGATTGAAGAGGAAGAGATAAAAATAACGAGAATTGAATTCAAGTACAGAAGAAAAACAAGATTTGAAAGTCTCAATGTTAATAATACCTTTCTATGAGGGTGACCTATTACTCTATACTGAAATAAAAACTACTATGGTTTATGTAAGTAAAACTTTTTTTGGATTAATACACATCAATATACTGATCAAAACACACAAACACCGAGGAGCATTTGCACGAATGAGTAAGAATATAAATGCTACACGGTCAGCTGATGCGAGCCATGGGCGTCGCCATATTGTAATGCGACATGCGATAGATGGACTAAAAATTTTGAGGCGATGGAATAAAAGTTTCACTTTGAAAATAAAATAAAATGTTAAGGTGTGCCTGGTGAATAGTGTCGTATCGATTTCAGTGAGTCGACAGGTGGGTGATTGATGGTGCGATTTGAATATTTGGCTGTCAAATTACACGTTATCTCAATAGAATTATGTATAATGGTGTGGTAATATGAATTCTTGCAGCAAACGTGCCTTTATTGAGACAAGTTGTTTGATTTATCGAAGATTTTCGCCACCAAACACTAAACTATCATTTGCAATAATGCGATACAATCATGAACTTTCATTGAGGGATAATTACGGTTGCGCAAATTGTCACTGAAAAAAATCCATCTTGCGGTGTGTAATTAGCAACTCATGCGCTATTGTGATACCATCAAACCGCTCAAAGAACTAGAATTAAGCTTGTTTTGACATTTCTCAACCTTGGCTGAGGAATTCGATCGATATTAATACAGTGGAAGATTTTTTCAGTAGCCGTTACAACACGAAAATTCATAATTAATTTGTTTTTAAAATTAGAATTGAAACAAATAGATCGTAAAAATCGAGACTTAATTATTGCATCATTTTGCGACTTTCTACTCCACAAATCAACGTCTATCAATAGGTAAAATAATTGATCTCTCCTCTAAGAGATAATTGAATGTAATCTTGGACTTGTTTAATAAGCTGGATTTCGAAATTTTGGTTCTAAATTGTCAAGACAACAAATTTATTGTAATAATTAATCTTGGTATTTAATTAATTTATGAAAGTCGTATAAGGGTTTAAAAATTCGTAGCCCCAATTAGTGAGTAGCGTAATTGCATACTTGCTTGTTAGAAAAAATACCAAATTTTTCGTGCTCAAGTACCTAAAAATTTCTGACACTTATTACAAGTAAAAGTAGTTATCAGATATAAATGCCAGCGTTGTCAACTCCGATGATATAAGTTGGCATTTCAAATATTTAATTAATATAAAGATAATTAACTCACTACAAAGAAAATCACAATTAGTGTTTTTTTTACAACAACTTGTTAGTTTACATTCGAATTTTTGCACTTTTTTACTCTCAAACTCAAAGCTTTTAATTTCATATAAACTTCAGCGGTTCACTACATAAATACAAGCGCCTCTACAGGGGGTCTGAAATTCTTGCATTACCTGAAGCTACCATGTATAACGCATGTTTATTTAACGAAGAGTTGTAAATCAGTAAGATTCATACACTTTATTTTTCATTTAAATTCATCTTGTCAGAATTACTGACAGTCCCCGAAATGGTTATTACGCAACGGGAACTCAGTACGCATTACCTTGAGTGCACTACTCAAGTGAGTTGGCAAATTAGCCCAAGACATATCACGATATTTAGTGACACGTCGATTAAAGATGCCGTCTTGTAGGGATTTTTGGTAGAAGAGATCGGACGTTTGCTACCAATTTAATCGTTTGTGTAATTGATTCGCGCCTCTCAGACGAGCTTGGTTTACCGCTCATAGAACCGTAATGTGAGCTGTCGATGGACGGAAAGATAATTCTTTTTGATTGACGGCTTGAGACACGCTATTTATGCCTGCAAGATGCATTCTCACAGGTGAATATTGGAATGATTTCTCTGATTCGAATCTCGATTTTTCAACTTCAGGTAATGTTAATCCTATTTTGTCATACTAGAAAAGTTAACACCAAAACCCCAACATAATCCACATAAACAAATTCTGCCAAAGTCTGTCTATTTTTGCTTGAATTGTATGCAATAGAGGCAATTAACTTTTTGGGACTTTAGCGATAAAGAAACCCTAAGCCAAGAAACCAATTGTAAAGGTTTGTTTCCTTGAGGTCGCTTTGGTAACAGTAGCTTTACAATAACCTTCATTAAATCCCTCATAAACTCATAAACTCATAAACATAAGTTAAAACCATAAAATTCAAGCAATAATAGACGGATTTTTCTGTTAGCCTTCAATTTCCAGAAATTTCTATGAAGCAGCTAAACTCTGTTTTTTTTTTTAATGGAAATATCAAACAGTCTTAACGTTAACACCCCTAATAACTTCATTCATGGTAATTTTAATAAAGAAAGTTGGCAGTTCCAGCTTTTGATTTAATTAAAAAAAAAGTCATTAAACATTAGCAAAAAAAAGTCATTAAACATTAGCAAAAAAAATCGTCTAAAAAATTTTTGAAAAAGTGGAGACAAATTGGGCACCGCGTAAAGTTTTTGAAATTTTGAAGACAAAAAGTGTGCAAGCAGAAGTCAGAAAAAGACCACCGCTAAAATTTAGACGCAATTTGTAATACAGGTTTGCTAAACATTTTCTAATTTTTAATAAAGATCGAGTAAAAAAAGTAATTATATAATTATAATATAATAATTTTGAAACTAAAGCCGAAGTAGAATTTAGAAAATGCATAAACTTTGAGTTCATTTCAATAAATTACACAAAATTTAATGTTAATATTCATCTTGTATCTTTTGCAAAACAACTTTTGTCTGCATTGACGCCTTTTTTAATTAAAGTTTTTATAGTAAGAAGCTCATTTTTGTCCACAACATTGTACTTACTTCAATCAATATTATATTATCTATTACGAAAACGTAATAGCTTGAACGCTCTCACACCCGTGTAAAACGTTAATTTAACCATCTTTGTCATGCGATAGCAATTCTTTTTCCTCCAGAGATTGTTGGAAAATTTGGAAGCACTAAAAGTAGAAAACGTTAAAAGGTGGAGATTGAGTGAAGGAAGAAACAAAAATTCAATCGTAATTCTAAAAAGTAGTAGTTTCATAGAAAAAAATTGCCTGAATTAACGTTTTAAAGACACTTCTGACAGTTATTGACATTTCACGACAATGTGGCTCACACTCTTCAAGAAAATCAAAGAAAAAGTCGTATAAATGCTTTAATCTGCATTTTTTTGGAATCCAGTGAGAAAAAAATTGACAAAATAGTCTCTTATCTAACATTAATTTTTACAATTCATTATTATTGTCTTTTTCAAAGCAAATTCGAATTTGATTAAAACAGTTTTTATGGATAATCGGTGAGGTTTTTGCAAAATCTTGAATTTAATTGGTTGGACACATTTGTTAATTTATTGGTCCGATTACAAGGGCCAATAATAATCATCTCCTTTTCTCGTTATTAGCACTGAATTCTGTCTTTGGACATTAGATAGTGATGTCTGTCCTCAGGTATTCGATTATAAGGGCTTACAAAGAGCAAAGAAGCGCACAATATTTATACAAGTCAAAATTTTGACAACATCACAACATGAAAACATAACCATAACTTTTTAACAAAAACAAAATTTGTGGCTATGGAGATAAGCTGCTATAGTAAAAATCAAGAGGGTAGTAGACCGGTGCGTCATCAATTTAATTTTTTGATTATAGCTTGTTCCAAATCTGGTGGCGAACTGACGTTGTCAAAAATGACTGAATTTTGACACTAAACATATGTTTACTATTAAAAAAAATATTGTTCATAGGCGTCGTATGAAATGATATCTCAAAAACACTGTTATTCTTTAAAAAAATATAATAAGTAGGTAGATAAAGAATGATGAACAAATTATTAAATTGTTAACGCATGAAAAGAATTTTCAAAAAAGGTATTCCTAACAATCCTTGTCTACAAAATTTTTAGAGAAAAAAAGTACACCCATGTATTTTTTTATCTTAACCAAGTGGGCGCACTTCAAGTGTCTTTTCTGTCACTGTCAGTTCGCCACCAGATATGGAATAAGCTCTACCAACTTAAAAGTGAAATAAAAAATTCTATCACAATGTAAATTCAAACAATTAAAGGGTCTCTAAGGATGGTAGCCTTGAACATTAATTTACATATGTCTTCAACTACACCACATTATTGTCGTCGTTGAAAGTCTTTTTGGTATAATTTGCAAGTATTTTTCGTTTATTGGTTGATTTCTGGCTTTTGTTGTGCGTCTCATTGGTTTCTTTTAATAATTCTTTACGATTAAGTAACCTCCATCAAATCAGGCATAAATGCACTTGTGTTAGTGTAAAAAATTGAAATAATGGGGGGTCACCGATAAAAATTAGCCCCCCATCATCCTTTATTTATTCTACAAAAAATGGGGCCAACCTTATAAAAAACCATTCAAATGCTGTTTTAGTACTTTACATATTGTGTCTGCTATGGCACAAACCACACTCTGTAAACAAAATTGTGATTATTTGAGATATTTGAGATAAATATGAACGTTGTTTAAGAAGTCCATTATTTAATATATAATTAACAGTACAAACTGAAATCGACGCATTATTTTGACTCTCACATAAGTAACTTTCTGATTTTCATAAGATCAGAATAAAAGCTTCTTAACGTTAATTGTGTATTTTCGAAGGATGTAAGATGCAACTTTGTTTTGTAGACGTCTTGAATTTCAACTTTTTCTTTTTTCTTACCAGGAAGAATGCATAAGATCTTTTATAGTTTTAAACCCTAAAAAAAAACTCATTGAAGGAAATTACTTGTCCACGCTCCTTATTTTTATGATTCCTATTGATACCGATTTTGCATCCTTTTTCTTCTCAACTTATCCACTGTTCTTTAGAAAATCGGTTTTATACTGATATACACAAAAAATTCCGAGTTTTAGATACAACATCCAAAAGCATTGGAAAACATAATGATGTAACTGCATGTAGAACGTCATTTCGAATCTATTATTAAAATTTAAATGCCTTTGCAAAGAATCGAACAAAGCAACACTTTCATCAATAAACAACTTCTAACTTGTAGATCAAAAAATTGACGGTGAGGAGAAACGTCAGATGATGCACCGGTCAACCCCTGTGATTTTTCCCATACCAATTTGTTTTACAAAAATTTTGACTTGGTAATTTTTATTTAAAGAAAAAACAAACTTTATCTTTTATCTACCAAATAAGATTAAGAAAACCTTGAATTAACACACTTTGCTCGCTGAAAATGTCGTTTTTGTGCTTACCATGTATGAGTGGTCCATCCAAAGTGCACAAAGGACAAGCCTCGTTAGTAAACATGCAAGAATAACATCTCTCATGTCCGCAGTTATCGATAAGTCTTCGTTTCTTGCCCTTATCAAACGGCATATCGCAACTGGGGCAGGTCCCTGCAGTGTTCTCGGTATCCAGTAGCCTCCTGATGGCTGCCAGATCTGCAATAAAATTCAATCAGTCAGACATGACCAATAAACACCGGCCTGGAATTATTATAGCCGTTCATTTCGATGTAATAAAAGGGTTCCGTTAGCCGCGGGAGAGGCGATAAAAACATTATTCTCACCTGTCGGAATATTGAAGATTGATCGAGGAAAGAAGAAACGGAAAATGACAAAGATATCCGTTTCCTATCATTAATTGACGCGATTGATGTATTATGAAGAAGGACACAGAGTATTGCAGATTTTTTTTTCGTAAATGTGAGGCAATCAAAGACCAGAAGCACGAGGCACGAGCTAATTACGGCGTTATGTAATGATTGTGAATAGGAAGAACCGTTCTTATGTTGCAACTGCAACCAGAAGCGTTCTTTCATACACAATTAACACAATACGGAGTTAATTGCAAGTGGATAAATGTTAGGTTTGAGATTAGTATAATTAGAGAGGTTATTTACCACACAAGTTCGCCCAAGATCGATCTAAAGCCGGTAGTGCATTATGCAAAATCGTATGAAAAATCATTTTGGCCTTAATTAAGATCCAAAGATTGTATGTAGCACGTGTGGTACCCCAGCGTTGCGAAACTCTATGACAAGTACTATACTAAAAGAGATAAAAGAATGTTATTTTTGACATTATATTCACGTTTTAGAGCAACAGCCATAAATACAACAGAAAAGGTTATTGGTTCAAGGAACATCAAAAGCGCATTATTATAATTAAGTACCTTTATCTGACATACTGTACTTTCAGGAAAAAAACCATTCAAAAACTTGCAATTAATTACATCAAGACGGCCGGTATTTAAAGCTAAAAACGGTTATATATTACTTTAAGTGCTTTTGTAATGCTGAATTTATGTCAACAAAATTTTCAATAAATTCTTGATTGCGGTAATCTTACTTTGATACGCTTGGATTGCGATCTGTTTTTCGTAGAGGGATTTTAAAATAATGAGACTTATATGAGGAAACGATCGGTTGCGACATACGAATATGAAGGAATCGGATACGCTTTCTCATTCATTTTAGTAATTATAGTGAGGTGATGATGAAGTTTTATGACTTATGCTAGTCGTTTGCGAAGCTGCGACGAGCAGGACAAGGTGATAAAGAAGACGATTTTTCTCCAGTTTTATTTCTCTCTGATAATGAACAAGAGAAAAGCAAAATATTTAAACTTTGACTCACTAATCCAAATGAATGAATAAAATTAGTGTCCCTGGATATCAAATTAACGTTTCTCGCTTTCCTGTAGAAAAAGTATGAGACCAAGTGTTTTTTGCTTAAATTATTAACTTTCCCAAAAAAATTAATAATTAATTACATTATTGTTAAGTAACATAAACACACATTAAGACAGTAAAACCTAAATTTTTCTTAATACATTTTCAAAAACAATAATAATTAATGGCCAATGGCCACAATTTTAATACATTTACTTTAATTATTTTTTTTTACTTTTAAACCAAGGCATATACAAAATTTAAAAATTGTTTAAAAACAATGTACCTTAATATAAAAAAATATGCCACTCGGAGTACGTATATCAAAAACTAAAACTAAAAAAAATATTAAAATAAATAACTAAATAAATAAAAAATATTTTTTGTTTGGCAATCTTTTAAACGGTGCAACTTGGTATGGAGGTAAATTGGATTAAATCGCATTATTCCCAGTGGAGAAATTGAGAAGAAGAAGAAATCGCTTTATTCTGACCTGGAAAATCTTAGGTTACTCTTTGTTCCCATCTTTTTGTTACGCCCTGTATACAGGATTCCTCAAAACTCGCGCACCACAGAAAAAAGATATCAGGAACATGGAAAAAATGTTAAAAGAATTCTATCTATAAAAATTTCGAAGTTATGAGAGTACTTTTTGTACTTTTACAAAAAAAATAATATAAAAAAATGGACAAAATCATTAAATAGACACAAAAAATATCAAATGTCAAAAAATGAATGTCAAAATTTTTTGAAAGAGAATTTTTTAAACATGTTTCTGGTACCTTATCTTACTTGAAATTTTTCTGTGGGGCGCAAGTTCTGACACCCTGGTTTTTCAAGAATGAAACCTCCTATGATCTGTTAGAACATTTTTTTTTGTTAATAATCAAAAAATTAGCTACACCTACCTACATAAAATTCAGGGTACAATAATACAGAAAATGAGAAATAGTCAATGAATTTAAGAAATTTAAGAAACGCCAAAAAAACGTCCAGGAACTAAAGTGACGAAAAACAAATGTGTCAATCTATTCCTAAAGTATAAATTTTTTTACCAAAATCAATGGTTAAAAGTCCTCTGATGTTTTTTTCAACGTTTCTTGAGAGAGTGATAGTGATAATAATAATGAAGAAACTTAACAAATATTACTTCGGCAGCTTTTTAGGTATGAAAAAATTAATGAAAAATAAATAATAGGAGTAATATTGCTGAAATAATCTTAATTTTTTACAAAGTTAAAAGACAATGAGAAAGAAACAATTAAAGAACTTGAATAACAACAATAACAATAAATCTAAAAAAAAAACGGTATTAAACCCATTTATAGTTTGGAAGTGACTGAGAGGTTGAAAACACAATAAGAAACAGAAGATTGTAAAACAAAACGATAATTATACAGGGGGTGCGCCAGAACTCGCCCCCAGAAAAAAAAATCACGTAAGACAAGATACCAGGAAGATGAAAAAAATGTTTAAAAAAGTCTCTGTCAAAAACTCTTGACATTTATTTTTTGACATTGAACAGAGTTACAATTTAGGATACAGCTTCTTTGTTTCCTCTTCTAATAGACAGTAGCAAAAAAACTTGAAAAATTATTTTTCCAACAGAAATAAATAGAGTCAAAGTGCAAATTATAAACTTTCATAACTTCGAAATTTTTATAGATATTTTTTTTCCGTGTTTCTGGTATCTTACCTTATATGACATTTTTCTCTAGGGCGCGAGTTCTGGCGCACCATGTACATATAACAAGAAAAAACATTCTCTTTCAGATCTCCGAAATTCTTCTGAATAATTGCTTTCGAAAGACGCTCATGTCCGCTCCGTTAAGATAAAAACTAGCAAAACCTCTGTTCAAGAACCTCGAAATGGTCCTAATACAATAATCTGAAAATAATTGCTACCGAGAGAGGATAAAAGCCTTACAAACCGCTTCGAAATTACCTTTAACAATTACGTCCCATCGCCCCTTAATTTACGACCCGTTTTCAACCCGAGTTATATAATACGATTATAAAAAAGCAAGTCATAATAAAGCGTGTTCGTTAATGCATGGAGGCATCGATGGTCTTTCGATAATCTCCCTACTGAAGAGCAACTTTAAATCAGTTTTATTGTAAGTGTGAAGACGTAAATTGAAGATTACGGTATTAAAGCTGTTGTCGAATTTTTTCTTCTTGAAAAAAAAGGAGAAAATAATTCGAGTGCAGTATTGGCAATAACGACTTTCACTGCCCTACTAATATCAAATTTTAGCACGAATGAGGGCCACGAAAAATTTAATTGCAAGATGACTTGCGATTTCGATATTTTGGGCACCTGGCAAAAAGACTAAATTTAATTAATTGTAAAATCAGGTTGATTTGTGGTCGCGACCTTTAATTTAAGTTTTTTGAGGCCTGATATGCCACAGATCTGTTTATTATGTCTTAAATCAATAAATTATAATTATTGTTCCCTTTGGACTTAAAATAAATCATTGTGTAATTGTAATAATTATTATCCTTTCTAAAGAAAATGTTACAGGATGCTATAAATTACAAGATAGATCGTTTACTTCAAGTTAAAATTTCCAGTAACCATAATAACTTTCTGGGTTAAAGGTTCCTCTTTTAGGTTACTTGGCGCCCAAAGCTCAAGCAAATCAATTTCAATTAATTCGTGTCGATAGGTCACGATAGGTCAGATAATAACTTTCGATACCATCAATAAGTTGCATAAGTTTCCTATTCGGGAGCTGCTATGTCCTTGAAGCTTGCTATAGTTATTTATAAAATAATTTGCATCTTAATGCGAACACCTGCGTTTGATAAAACACATGTTTTATTGAGATTAAGACCTATTAAAAGACTGTGCATACATAAAGTAGTCTGTGTCAACGACATATTAAAACGAATTTTGTCTAATTGGTGTGGAAAGTGTCACAATATTTACATATGAGAGGGTAAAAAATGTACGTTATGCTTGGGAAACTCCCTTAATTAAGTGGTTTGGAAGGAATTTAACACTTACGGCCTTGGGTGGAAAAAATGGGAGCGATCAATCACTTCTAGACAAACTCTAGACCTTCAATTAGTGTCAATCAAGGCAAAATTGTAACAACAATAAAATCATTTTGTTACATTATTAAAGAAACTGTTATTCCATCGCCTCAAAATTTGTCGTCCAATATGGCGGCGCCCATGGCTCGCATCAGCTGACCGTGTAGCATTTATATTCTTACTCATTCGTGCAAGTGCTCCGCGGTATTTGTGTTTTGATCAGAAAAAAAGTTTCACTTGCATCGTGGTTTCTTTAAACCATAGCAGTTTTTTGTGCTTTGTGCTGCTCATAATTCACATTATTATAAAAATCAAGGCACTCATCCGTATTCTCACGCTGTGTTCGATTTATTACTTTCAATTTTATCTTAACTAATTATGAGTAGGTTTCACACAAAATATCGTGACATTTTAATGGGCGTTTAAACCTTTTATGACTTTAAACTCATATATTACCACTTAATTTGGCCAGTGTTTGTTTTAAGTCAAAATAAAATGGCAAAAGTAATTATGATTACACAGTTACTTAAAAATTTATAACACATTTACATTTTAAATTTATGACATTTTGACCAAAGTGGAGCTTTTATATTTGAGCAATAAACATTTAATAGTGGTGAAATCGTATGTTGGCGGTTGTATATGAGCAAATTTTAGGTTTATTGAAAATTAGAGCTGTCAGGTCGGTATTTTTGGGGACAGGAAAATAAAAAATAATTTATGCTTC